TTGGTCCTTGTAGTGTAGTGGTTAATACATCGGACTAGAATACCGAAGACGTGGGTTCGAATCCTGCCAAGGGCATTTGATATTTTTCTCTTATTCTCTCTACTGAAGTAAATCAAGAGTAGTGTACATGCATAGTAAACGTCTGGATGATATTACAGTATTTGTGACTAAACAACTGGCAACTAAATAGAAATTGTCCACTTAAAAAACTGGTGGCCGCATCCATGGTATTGCGAAATTCACTAATTTTGAGGCTAACGTTACCAGAGAGAATTGGGAGATTTATGCAACATGCCAATGTCATATCAAAAATCTAGTTAACTCAATCCTAGAGGTGTGGTGTCTTTTGTGTCCAAACTGAAACACAGGAAGACATTTAATTGTTAAACACCGGCTAGTGGGCTATCAAGTTGGTTGAACCATCCAACGAGATACATTTCCAACACATGAAATCATCGTCTACTAGTGGTTATGAATAGGAACGCAGCTGACATCGCATGGTCTCGCATGTGAGTATAGAGTTTGTTAAGTTTCTCCCCCTTGATTCGTGGGCTTTTTATTTCAGGGTTCAATCTGTGAGTTAGCCGCTCGCCCTGACTTTTATCAGCTCGGATTTTGTTTCTGACTTTAACAAGCCCAGACTTGTCTCAAGACTGACCTTTCAAGTCGATCTTTGTGCACGAGCGAAATAAAGTAATCCTTYGTTAACAGCAAGCGTGCTTGTACGGCAAAGTCTAGAAAAGGTCAACGAGAAATCCATCCCTATAGAAAGGACTGAAGGTCTTGAGAATCTTAATGAGGASCTGTCTCTTTCTTTGTGCTTTTCAACGTCATCGATCAAGGTGAAGCAGAAACAACTTGAATTTCAGATGACGTCATAATACAAATTTATTTTTTCCTTCTTACCTTCTAAGGCGACCCACCGGAAGAAAAAGGGTTGAGAAAGTATATCATTMATTCACTTTCTCTTTGTTTTCGGCGCTTTTATATGTCATTTAAAGGTACAGTAGATCAGAAGACACAGTCAAAGCTAGAGTAACGTCATTASCACAAATTTATTGTTTCCTTCTTCGACACTTTCACCCATAGGAAAGAAAAGGGCTGAGGAAGTATATCATTGACTTTGTCTTTGTTTTCGGTAATTTTCGATGTCATCAATAAAGATCAGGAAGAAGACTACTGTCGAAGAGTAACGTCATAGTATAAATTTCTCTTTTTTCCCCCTCAGTTCCCGTCTTACACTTTCTCCTAAAGCAACCCTTCCTGTGAGGAATVGAAAGGGCTGTGAAAGATTACCATTGGCTCTCTCTAGATCTTTGTTTTYGGTAATTTTCAATGTCATCGATAAAGGCCAGGAAGAAGACTACAGTCGAAGAGTAACGTCATGTCCAAATTTCTCTTCTTTGCTTCCTGTTTTACACTTAATTTCTCCTAAAGCAACGGCTTCATGAGGAATGGAAAGGGCTGTGAAAGTATACCATTGACTCTCTCTAGATCTTTGTTTACGATAATTTTCAATGTCATAAAAGAAGAAGACTACGTATACAGTTGAACACAACTCTTTTATTTTTCGTCTTACACCTAGGAAAGATAAAAGGGCGGATAAACCCTGCTCAGTAATGACTTTCAGTCTTTCCTTTGTTTTACATCATTTATCAAGGAAGAAGTCAGATGACGTCATTTCTTTTTTCTTGGACTTGATTGTAAGTCATAGAATTATATATTCAAAGTTATATAATTATAATTTTAGTGCTTATCACAAAAACATGATTTTATGGATGATGTCACTTCCCTCCAGACACAATAGAGGCGTTCAACAGCCAGCGGCAAAAAATTTGTGGTCACCTTTAATTCATTTCTCAATTTACTGAAAATCATTTATCCAATCGATGAATCAATTTTTTCAATTTCGCCGCTCAGTTAGTGGTTATRATAAGACATCTTATTGGACTAAAATTATTTTCTTCATACGCCTGAAGCCACCTGCGAACTTCGCTTCGGTTCCAAGTTGTTGTTTGACCAACACAGCCTTATATGGTCAACTTTTTGAGCTGATTCCGCAATAATAGTTCTTTGGTGGTGATTATAATCTTTTTCCTTACCTTGGAAAGGTATAATTCTTTTGAACACCTTACTAGCTCTTACACCTTTAAAAGCTGTTGCTGCAATTTATGTTTTAATACAAGATTATTTTTTTTTGTCATTATTTTTAATTTTTACCCGAGCTATTTTCTTGGCAACGCTATCTTTCCACTTAAGTTTTTTGATAAATCACTCTCATTTTTTTAATTCAAAATTTACATAAGTGAATTTTCTTTTAGAATTTTAGTACATTTTACTGAATAAAAATGTTTTACAGATATCATATTTTAAATTCGTTGGGTTAATTTTGGAAACAGCCCTGGAGCTCTGGAGTAATTTTATGAATAAATTTTACAAAAGAACTAATGAAAAACAACCGTAGTTATTGCACTAATTTAAACCAAATAACACAGAAAGAAAGACTAAACAAATTCGAATCTAAAAAGACACCTATGGATGGCTTTCGAAAATAGTATTGCTTGCTATTCAATCGCATCACTGGGCGTCCTATGACACAGGAAGCCCAAACTAATATATATTTAAAAACCGTAAGTGAAATCGTGATTTTTTTTTCTAATACCGGAAATATAAGTGACGCAATCTTCCTAAAACCCTYGAGATTTTCAGGAATCATCTCTGAAACAAGAATTTTTTTGGCGTTTTCTCTTTATGTGTGAATGTGCGATCATTTTCAATCAAGGAAAGAGAAAGAGAGGGAAATGGGAGGTTCTGTTCCAACTTCTTTTCTTTTTTTGACCGGCTTTTTTTCTCTTATTAGTCAGCCGAGCTAAAATTTTTATCTTCTTTCCGCCCCTAAAAATTTACCCTTTCCCTCCCCCCCCCCCCAAAACCTCGTGTCGTCTTCAAAGCAACAGTGCAACAGACAACACATGAACTTTCCACCAAAAAACAACTTTCGAAAAAACTTTCCATACGTTGTAGGATTGTCTKAGGGATAAGAAAGCATTGCATTCGTGCCTCGTCTTCCCAATAACCAATTGACCATATTTGGCCTCATTAACACGTAACAGGGTTTTATATTTGATCAGCCGACGATGTGATTGGCTGATTCGCGGTGAATTYGATAGATATGTGTCTAAAGTGACAGTTAGTGTTGATCTTTGCATGCCAGTGTGGGCGGCGATAGTAACTTGGGACCGTCTCTCTTATAATAGAGCTTTCCTCTGAGCAACAACTCTCGTTTTACCTGCAAAAATAACTTTGATCATGGCAGAGCAACAAGTTATTGATTCAGTCAGAGGAGACGAAGGGTTAAGCGATGAGGAATTAAATGGATTGCAGAAGGGGGAAGATTCTGCTTCGAGCGAAGACCTTTCGGAATCGGARAGCGAGGGAGAGACACAAAATGGTGACCAGAGGAATGGAATTCCGGAGAAATCTAAACTCCAAGACGATSCTGTTGGACAAGACGAGGAAAAGGACCAACCTACGATCATAGAMAAGGGACAAGATGATGGTAAACGAAGCAGTGGAAGCAGCGAATCAGGGACAGATTCAGAATCGGAAACAGATAGCGACTCTTAYACAGAATCAGAGAGTAGTGATAGCGAAAGGTAAGAAGATTTCACAGAGAATCAATACACGTTGATGTATCCTTTCTTTGAGTACCTGACGAACAAGTCTCTTGAAGGTGAACACCCACAGTCGCTATTCCTAAGGCCTCCAATTTAATTTTTTAAACTCAAACCCGAACCTCAGCAAATTTATTCAGCTGCAGGATCCGACATAATGCAATTTATCACCCAAATTTTATATCTTATATCCCAAATTTGTACATTTTATTGCAGGGTWTTGCTTTGATTAAGATGTGTGTGCACTCAGTTTTGACCTAAACATTTATATATTTATACATATATTGGAACTTTTGAACAATAAGTGCAGTCCGATGGCTTTTTTTAGCATTAACAATTGACGTGATCTATATGCTAATCTCTTAATTACATAGCAAATGTTTTTATCGTCCACAAAAATTTAAATTTTATTCCCAAATAGAGTTAGTTTAACCATTTTAAAAAACACTGTAAAAAATAATCTAGTGTGTGGTTTGAATTTGGGCTAGGCTATCAACCGGAACAACGTCATCAAAGCGGTGAAGTGTTATGATAGTCCATCGAGATTGAAGAACAAACTTATGTACACTTCAGTGATGCGTGCATCTACTAATTTACATAAAGCTGCTTTCTAGGAGTCAAAAGTTTCTTGGCATTTTGTCTTCATCCTGGAACGGATTAGTCTTTTGTGTATTAAAAAGCTAAAACACGATAAAGATTTGATTTGTTACGCTCTATTTAGTGTGAAGACTTTTGACCCTGTTGGGAAACGATTGTAAAGTTCTATCATTCCATGGTTGCCTTCGTTCCTGCCAAAATGACAAGCGCATTTTCCGAATATCCAACCAATTTCCTTGTGAAAACTGCGATCTTTGACATCGTAGACCATAGATATATTAAATTGGAAATTTTTAAAAGTATATTTGAATTTCTCACCATATTTGCAGATTGTTTATACTCTATTAGAAGAAATATTGTTGTAATGGACTATGAATCTCATTATATCTGTTAGGACTATTCCAAAGGTGTTATTAGAACTATTTTTAGAGAGCTAAGGCAACGTGGGTTAAGTTTGGTTTTACTAATTCCTTATCCAAATGCCCAGGTTACTGGGAATTAGATAATAACTTGCAAAATTATAAATCAATGCTGTGGTTAAGATTTTGATAACAATTGATTTGCAGACAGTTCCTTAGAAAATAAAACAAACCTATTTTTACAAGTTATTCGTCCATACTACAGGGCTGTAGCCACTGGTACGGTTGGTCCGGTTTCACTTTCGGTGAAAAAAATATAAGAAAGATATTTTTAAAATGTAAGAAAAACTCAAAAACCTCGAAAACTGGACCAATCAGAAATTTGAAGCTATGGCCCTGTACTAGCAAGAGGCATTTAATCATATCCACTTGCGCATTTATGCTTATTACGAATACTAAATTATTATTATTACTCAGTCATCTTTTTTAATATTGATGATCGACATGAAATACATATGATATGTAATGACTACGATTCTGTGGTTTGACATTAAAAAATTTCATTAATTCCATTAGGCCTAATTTCATTATCATTAGATGCATTGATAGTTCACTTACACAGAATATTTACTGGAATTTTCTAATTTGCAAATGGACACTGATATATAATTAACAAGGCCTGTATCTAATCCTATTAAGTGTTTTGATTTACCATGAACAACCGCATTCTGATTATACATCACATATATACAGCTCCTGGATTTTACATCTGTCATGCAATATGTTTGAGAGGCAATTAGATCCTGGTTTTCCGTATCTGATGATTATCTGATAACCTTTTAGCAACTGTTTCGTGAATTAACTTCTAACATTCCAGTGCATTATAACAGTAGGATCAATTGACAAGTTTGTATTTTCCATGAATGATATTCCTCATAAATGAATAAAATAATAGGRTTATATATTTAGTATTGGCCAATTAATCCATTAGCTCAGGTTACAATGTTCTATCCTATTCGATCATTGATTTTATGTTCTATAAGGTATTATRAAATACCTGTTATTATGCATTATAAGAGCGCACAGCATGAGCATGCACTTTCTACTTTATTATTTATATCCAAAATAACACAATATAATTTCTTTTTGTATGGAATGTGCAAAGATTGTGTACTAACAATGAACCATTTGTCAGAGTTTGACTGTGGTAAGGAAGGTAAGAGGAGTAAAACACATTCACATGCAATTATTATTATTATTTGATTAAGATGGGTTTGAGGGGGGGGGGGGGGAGAAGAGTTTTCTTATTTCAAAACCCAATTCTTGTAGTTCCAGGAAAGATTAGAAGGAATGTAGCAAGGAAGCTAAGACTTGGTGTCTAAAGTAACACATGTATTACATTCCAGTTGTCCAAGTCCTATCCATATTATCGTATCATTGCAAGCATTACTGGTAGAAAAAGAGATGATACTCAGGGGAATAACGTGTTCAGAAATGGGCAAATGTTGCAAAATGTTGTTCATAAGTTGAAAATTGAATGGAATTATTAATGATCCTGGCCTTCAAATATCGTTTAGAAATTGAAGGAGGGTAGAGTTATTTGGGTTGCAACTTGCCCTGTTATGTGACTAAGAAACATTTATAGGCAAAAAAATGTTGTGATCATTCAGTCTCTGCAAATTATTCCTGTATCTGCCTTCGGCATACATATGAGTGCCAATCATTCTTTTCCCATGAAAATAACCCATGATATCTGAAATATCTATCTATATCCTGGTATAGTATCTGACTAGAATATGAAAGGCCAAATTATGGGCTAAAAATCCCATCAGATTTTTTCCAAGGTTATTGATCACAGCCAATCAAATTGTGAAAAATATGCTCTGTTATCATAAAAATAGTTATATACATATTTTGCATTTCCCTTATTTCTTGACTATTATATGTACTGATATGCAAAAGTAAAGGAAAAAAATGATAACATGAGAAAAAAGTAAAGTACAAAGAATTTCTGGTTTCACGTAGCCACAAAGTAGACTCCTTTTTTCAAGCTTAGGTTTAGTAAATGTATCATATGAGCCAGACTTAAGGTATAAAGGTTTATTTTATTTGTTAACGTTGCCCATCAATAAAGAGTCTTTATTATTTTTAGATGAGTGGAATTCCTAAAACGATTGTCCAAGCATAAGATAATAAAACTATGGGTATATGTAAGATGTTGCATAATTTAAAATTTTGCATTTATTGACGCATATGTTCGTAGAAGTTATTATTAATCAATATGTAAAAGTCACTCAAGACTGCACTTTGTTTTAACTTGTCCTACTGTGACTTCTTTTTTAATCAGTATTTTTTTTGTAAATTTATATAAACACAGTCTGAGTTATATATATATATATATATTTATAGAGTACGCCACCCACCCTAGCAATGTATTTCCTGAAGAATTTCCTAGCAGCATACAAACCGTTTAAAAACTCTTTTTAACAGGTTTTTTATATACTTACATGCTTACAAGCATCCATATTTGAGAAATTTTAGAACTTTCTAGAGGTAGTGGGCTTTTAGTAGTGTTTAATAAATGAGCAGAATGAGTGTTTTAATTATCAGGTCTAAAAACACTTGGCTATGCCTCGTGTTTTTAAATCCTGATAAAACACTTCTGCTCATTTATTAAACACTACTTAAAAAACTCATGATGTATGTTCTCATATTGTACTGAATTCTTTACGAAATGAACCAAGTTTGATAGAGAAAATTCAAGTTAAAGTTTATGCAAATGAAGACGAATCTATGTCAGATATAAAACCTCCTTCATGGTCATGATTCCTATTGTGTTTCCTTCATGAATTAGTGATGAGTTTTTGAATGCTTTTAATGTATGGAATAATTGCAATGCATTAGATAATAAAAAAGAATTTTATTGTCATATTAATCATTAGTATCGAACTATGCATATTTGAAAAGATTTCATTCATCCATCCATCCTTGCGTCCATCCATTTATATATTCTTATTATTCTTATTAAACTCATTAATAATTCATGAAGAAAACACAACAGAAATCACCACCATGAAGAGTTTTGTAAATCGGATACAGAATCCTGTTCATTTGCATAAACTTTAAGATGGATTTTCTTGGCCATATTCACTTTTATCTTGAAAATTTTAGTGAAACACAAAGAAACTAACCTAGAGGTTTGACAAGCAATCTACAGTATTCGTGTCCATGTTGTATCCAATATACAAACTCTCAGCTACGCCTCGAGTTTGTATATCGGATACAACACGGCCACTCATACTGTATATAATACATATTTATTTATTATAATTCATTTATCCATCCCCTTTGTCGCACCGTCAATGCCACTCGTGTTTTCTTTTTCCCATTTTTCCATTCTTTTTTTTGTTTTAAGGACTTACCCATTCATTGTTCTTAATCTTATTTTTTCAACTTGTTTCTAGGGAACGTACAAAGAAAGGGAAACTAACCAAAGAAGAAATGCCAAAGGTGGGAACAGCAGCATCCTTCCGTTCAAGATTCGAACAAAAAGCAGAAGAAAGCGCGCAAGTAAGGAGCTCAGAAAGAAATGTCAAGGAAGAGGTTGAAGCAGGAAAGGCCCGTGCGCATCGTAGAATCTTTGAAGAAAAGATGAAGGAGGAAGTACAGGTCAAGACCTCATCTCCCAAGATAGAAGTCGATGGCGAAGCGGCAGATCTCTCAGGCAGAGCTCGTACACATCGTGAGCTCTTCGAGAAAAAAGCTGCCGAACAAGTCGCAGTTTCTCCATCAATGGGTCGGAAATTTGACRTCGACTTCTCGGGCAAAGCGAAGTCCAATCGACAAATCTTCGAGCAGAAAGCTAAGGAAGAATCTGTGTCGCCATCCCCTAAAAGGAAATTTGATGTCGAATTTTCTGTGAAGGCAAAGTCGCACAAAGCGATATTTGAGCAGAAGGCTGCCGAGGCGTCGGAGACGAAGGCAGCTGGGAGAAAATTATTGGACCTTAACGGAGAGGAGGATGTTGCGGGAAGAGCACGGTCGCACCGACAGATCTTTGAGCAAAAAATTGCGGAAGAAAGTCAAACTAAAACAAGTGGAGGTCGTCTGGTTGATGAAGAAGTTTCGCCCAAGAAGGGTTCTACTCTGTCAGCGGTGAACATCTTTGAAGCTAAACAAAAGGAGGAGTTCAAAAAACCCGAATCGGACTACCTTGAGGTGTTTAAGCAAGGRAATACGATGAAAGATAAGGCTGAAAAGAAATCGAAAAAGAAGAAGCACCATAAGCATCATCACAAGGATCATGATGACAAGGAACGCGAGCACAAAGAACATCACCACAAAAGAAAAAGATCATCAAAGGCATCAACCAGTGAATCGAGTGCCACTGAGCATCACGACGAAATCCATGTAGAGTCTACAGAAACAACAGAATCTGCACCTCACGATGACCAAGATGGAAGAGATCGAAGAGACGCGGAATATGATTCTGATGACGAAGCAGAGAAACGACGTTTGAAAGAAGAAGAAGAAAGAGATAGACTTGAGGAGGAAGAGGACAGACTAGAAGAGGAGAGAGAACGAGCGGAGGCGAGGAGACGAGAAGAAGAAAGAGAGGAGGCAGAAAGAAAAGCAAGGGTAGAAGAGGAAGAAAGAAAACGAGAAGAAGAAAGAAAGGAACAAGAAAGAAAAGCTAAGGAGGAAGAAGAAAAGAAGAAGAAAAAAGAGGAGGAAAGTAAAAAGGAGTATTCAGATTCAGATAATTCATGGAGAGCACGTAGAGAAAGACGAAGGCGCGAAGAAGAACGCAAAGAGAGAGAAAAGAAGGAAGAAGCTGAACGACAAGCAGCTAAAGAAGCTGAACTCATAAAGAAAGGCGAAGAAGAAGCGAAACGAGCACTTGAATCCGCAGTGTCCTCAAAGGARACTAACGAAGTTATAACGACGACTACTTCAGTTACGACTGAAAGCGAGCCACCCAAAGAAAAAGCAGAGGAAGAAGAACCCCTCGACGAAGAAGCAAGACGCGAGAAAGCTCGACAAGAAAGAATGGCAAAACGAGCAGAGAGACGAAGACAACGAGAAGCCGAAGAATCCGGGACTAAAGATGYTTCCGATTCGAGCACTTCGAGGACAAGTTCAAGAATAACCAGTGACGACTCCGATATGTCTTCTAGTAAGGACACAGAAGACGCCCATAAAGATTCCTTTGCTGCCCGGCGTGCAGAAAGACGAGCAAGGCTGGCGGAGAGAAAGAAAAGCGAACAGAATGACAACGCAGGCGAAGAAGAATCTCGGTAAGTGAGGGAGGAGAGGCATGGTTTTTTATTTGCATAAGTATCAATGTCCCAGCCCAGTTACAGGTATGTCCCAGTAAAGGTGTGCGTTGACCTTTACAATAGAAGTGTAGAGACTTTAATTTGCAGCCAGATGCTACATTCGAAATTTCGGGTYATCATCTCAGACATGTCTATTTATGGCAAAGCCTGAAATTTATCCTTAAATTCATTATTCTTCGTTTGGAATTGCAAGGATCGTTTTCATTCGCACCAAGGTTCATTCCTTCATCGCTCCATGATCTTGAGTATTGCCATTAAGGATCGTTTTTATTCCCATCAATTTTCTTTCTTTCATCTCTCCATGATATTAAGTATTGCCATTAATTGAACATCAAGTTACACGCGCCTGTTGGTTCCAGGAAGCGGCGAGCGAGAGCACTTAACAACGTTATCAAAATCCTTATAAACTTTTAAAACATCAGTTCAACTTAGAGAAGTCGATGCAATTGAAAGTCCAAGAAAAATAGGTTTGTTTGTCAAGCCAACAAATKTTAGCGTATTTAGAATACATTACGAAATTACATAAATAACTAGTCAAAGTTTATTTGGTCATTGCGTTACTATAATGTAACAATTGCGTGACCTGTTGCTTTTAATGTTTGCATAATATAATATTTTTCATGTTCAATATGCTAGTAGACCAATAAACTAGAACCTGAACGTGATTAAAATATTAACACTTTTGAGCCACTTAGTTTTAACATCAGTCAAGCGAAGGTAAAATACTTCGGAGCTACCCGGGAAAATGTTATGCAACAATAGAATTTTGGACCCGGAAATACGTCATGTATTGTCTTTATTTCAAGTACGTATGTAACGCCCACTTATACCTCACGCTGCTCKTCAAGCCAGAACACGTTCAACTGCTCATAAATTTTCCGAAACCGGCCAAGGTATCACACTAGTCTTTAGACAGCATTAAGGCCGTATCCCTTTGGGTGAGTCTGTCTGTAGTCCTCTGCATCTCCGGTGGATTTAGATTACATCAAGAGTAGATCGCATCCCTAAGGTGAGCTTACGCGTACGACCTTGACCGCTTTTGGCCTTGACTGATTTATAAAAACATTACAGCTAAGAAAGACCTTGATTTATTCGCTGGAATTTCCGCAAAGGCTTTGCGTTAAGARCAATTTTAAAGCAATTTTTTCTTGTAATATTCTATTAGATAGCCATATTTTTTCACCGATTGGAAGAAATACTTTCCGTGTTCGTGTCACTTATATTAGTCTGTTTCGCCCCTATGGAGCACTTGAACCAACTGCCTTGAATCTTCTCTTAAGTACATTTATTACGTGAATATGAAGCCTAAAAGGCTATAGAGATTCAACGACTAATATTGATACAAAAGTGCCTTTACGATAGCAGATATATATATACTAAAGAGAAAAATGCTCAACAAAGACCCCAAGGTCGAATCACTTCCGAAAAATGTATTCAACATCTGAAACAATTAGCATTTTCCAACCGTCAAGCACGAATTGAAATTTCCTAGCTTCTAAATAGTCATTTAATGAAACCGGTTAYGAGAAAAAGTTAAAGTAAATAAGGTTTGACAATCTCCTGGCTCATCATCTTGAAGGAAATATTGGTAGTATTTACATTGTGGGCGATCATTTTTGGGCCAAATATGATAAAGATAATTAATTCTATCTAGATCAATTTTTGCTCTGTTGGATGATATATGGCTTGTCTTCTTTATTTCCAGCATTGATCGCCAGAAATCTTTTCTTATTAATTTTTCGGTAATTAAATTTTAACAGAGCCACAAGGATTTGTATTAGTTTTTTATTCTTCTAGAAATTTTTTCCGGGTGTTTCGCTATCTCCTCATACGTCAAATTCATTGTTGGCTGAGTACTGCTTTTATGAATAAAGATCCAACAGCTTAATCCTATCAATAATTAATGAGCCATTTTGCCTGGCATTTTCTAGAATGCAATAAAAAAAAAAAAATACTAAATTGCCTCTCCCAACGTCGAGCCTTGAGTGGGCCTGTCATTGTTCTTGACGTCTGTTAAATAACCATTCAACTTTCTTTTTCGGCCTCAGTTCTTCAAGGAGAACAAGAACTGCCAGGTCTAATCTAGGAAAACAAGACTCGACAACTTCTGAAGAAGAAACTCAGAAATCGACGTACACGGCCACGGTTAAGTCTAGATTTGAGCGAAAATACAGCACTGAGAAAAAAGAGGACGGTTCAAGAAGTGAACAGACATCATCCATGGACGAAAGTGAGAGAGACAGCCAACGTGGTGAGGAAGAGATTAGCGGCAGACGTGGTTATAGATCTGGACGCTCTCGAGATGACACAGATCATGCTGCACCAAGAACAGTAAATAATGATAACATCTTCCAAGCATCCAAGAATCGTTTGGCAAAGTACAATGACAAGCCTAGTGAGAACATAAGAGGTTCTGCTTCACCGGTATGTAGCATTAAAGAAAATCCATAAGCTTTAAAAAATCGTATTCAATTTTTATTCATACACAACGTTTTATCTCTCTGTTTTTGTCAATTTAAACAGTGTTAATWCCAAATTAATTTCCGAGATTTTTAACATTTTTGGTATTTTTTAATTCGAGTTTAACGTCACAGCGTTGTTTACATTTCGTTAACTTGTGGTTGCTTGTGTCGTTACATCGTTTATGTCGTTACATCGATCGTTTATTCTCACGGTGGATTGCGTGACTTCCAACTCTTTCATTTGCTGGCCTTTTTAAGAAATTCCACTTGGATAATATATTAAAAATCATCGCATCCTCTTRATTTCTTAACAATACTGTTCAGCGTAGCGCCTGTTGCTATTTGAGGGCGATAATTAGTTTTTAAATTTTAGTGTATATATTTGTCTACGCGATTCTGTTATGTGATAGCGTTTTTAATTTTTCGCTTTCATTCCTCCTTCATTCGGTTTGAAGACCTTTTTATGATTATCAGCGTAATCAGTCGACTGTGCCCCTCTTGTCAATAAGCCAAAAAATAGAATTCTTTAGCTTGGGTGTGATGTTTTCTCTTCACGTGCCATTTCCTTTTGTATTATTTCTTTAATTAACGGAGTTCATTGGGAATTCATTTAGAACTCGATTTGTGAGCTGAATTGCTAGTTTTCAATCATCATCAAGAGAATGAAATTACGAAAGACACGGTGGCCATTGGTTGATATAGGTTGTTATCAATAGACGTCATTTCCGGTAATGGCTCTTTTTTGATGGCTTGTAGAATCCTGGAGGTTGTTTTGATCTCTTGTTTTCTGGTTTGATGTCGTGAAAATAGTCAAATACAATAGTTTGAGGACTTATTTTGATATGTTTTGACTTAGCATACGCTAGTTGCCCCCCAGTCAACCGCTTGTTTGCTCCCCAGTCAACTCCAAAAAGTCACGTGATTGATAGTAAGCCATAGGAAAAGAGCGATATTAAATGTCTTGTTAAATTCAACTAAGATGGCGGCTATGAAAACCAGTAATTTGCCAACGCTATCTCACTTTCCTAAATTTAGTCCTAAAATCCTCTAAACGGTCGTTATTACTTCGAAATTCGCAAACTCGAATTTGTGACCGCAATTTTAATTCTTTATTGTTCGATTTTGTTCTTTATAAATTTTCTTTTCTTTTCTGCAGCGCACTGGAAGGGCTTTCCAGGCACCAACACAAGAAAAATGTGAGGTGTGCCAGAAAACTGTCTACCCCGTGGAAAGACTTGCAGCTGACAAAAAAGTCTATCATAAATTCTGCTTCAAATGCACAGAATGCCGTCAGACTTTGAGGTACGTGTCTATTTTTAGCTTAAATGAACTTTTTGACAACTTCCCAACAACTTGCTGCAAATCACTTTCACATTGAAAAGCCATTTTGTTGCTAGTACGATTTTTTGTACTAATTTTGTCATCCAACATGACTGCCTCCATCTGATCATGCAAACGGTTAAACAGTAAGTGAATGGTTAATTAATAGGCCTTTTCCAATTACGCAGCGCACTGATTCTAAAAATAGCTTAAAGATTCGGACAAACATTGCATTCTGTTTAACCGCTACGAGGATTATACGAACCGATTTTATTATTTTTACTTAAAGTTACAATAATAACCCATGTAAACTAAGATCAACTGCGATCGGCTGTGAAAATTATCTGCTGAAAGTAAACTTGTAAGTTTGTTTGTCCGAATTTCGCCTTTGTCTTCGTTTTTATGACGACACGGCTACGCTGCGCTATTTCGCTTGAGAGGCCACGAACAATGTGGCAAAAGTCGAGGTTAAGACTTGAGATGTTCATACATTTACTGTATTCTATCAATTCCAACATCGACTTGAAGCCATTGTTTCGTGGGCACTCAAGCCKGTGAATTTGGAAAAGGTCTGTTGGCATGTCATGAGTTGGGGAACCCTGTTCTATATCCCTTTAACACCTGGGTTTCAGAATCTTACGTCATCGTTGATGTCATTGGGTGACTAGCCCATGAAAATTTGTATATTTACGGTTGGGAATAGCGTTCAAAATAACAAGAGTTTTTGTTAATTAACATAACATAAGAAATAAACCAATAACTGTAGTTAGAATTAGCTTAGTCAGGATATCTATAAACTTGTGGCCAAGRATTCTCAATAGGCAGAAAGATTATTATATTGCGCATGCGCAAATCAATGTTGATTAGGGCTTTCTACAGTTAACAACTTCATTGCGTTTTAATCAGGGCCCAGATGCGAACCATTGTTATCTGGTAATTATTATTTCTTACTGCGCATGCTCGAGGAAATGTGTAATTGAGATGCTTTCTCCATGAGTTTCCTTGTGCCGCCAGGAAATTTTAACGTACTTCAAGACCCTTACGAATCGTATTCTAGACTTGACTTCGACAACTTAGACTGACAACTAAGACTTCATTCAGTTAGAAGTAACTTTCTCTCTAAGGATTCTCTGTTATAAACCAAGCTTTAATGCTTAACTAACCGTCTACGTAGAATGATCACAAATTAATTCTCAAGTATGACAACTAATCGGCGTGCGTTAGGTAGCCTAAYTTGTTTGAATAATAAAATCGATCGCTAAAAAACAAATACGATCGCTATGACTAGAAGAAAGGACACTTGCTTGATATATTTGGTCAGAGGGAGCTAGGGTTAGGCTTTATGGATTAGGATATTCAGGACTGCAAGAATAGTTGCATTGCACTGATAACCATGGGGTCTATTATATTGCAAGCACATACGCCTAATCGAAAAATGGCGATCAATTTGAATAACTATTGTTCTGCACTGACCAGCGACTGGACTAGCCTCTCATACATGTGAAAACGCTTCTGTGTTTCCACGTGAACACCAGGCTAGTCAGTCGCTAGTTGGTGCAGAACAATAGTTATTTAAATTGGTCGCCATTTTTCGATTAGGTGTATTGAAACCCGTAGATCTCGGGATACGAGTCATACTCGTTGAGTCGTGTCAATTGGAGTCAAACCCACATCAAGCCTGATTCTCTGTATGATACTGAAGTGTCTCCTAGTGTTCTTACTGAAACGTTGCTTTTTTATTTAGTAGTACGGAAAAGACTTCTTCGTCCTATAGCAGGCGCTACTGAGGTATTCGCGTGTGTCACGTGTGAATGTCACGTGTTAATGGTGACGTAGTTATCCAACCTGAATGCATCCGCGCCCAGTCATCTTTTACTTCTATGACTCGAGACTTTGATGCTCGTACTTTGTTCTAACTGTCACCATCTTCCTCTTTTCGCCATTGTTTTATCATTCGATCGTAAGCTACAGATTAGTTGTATTCGTTTTGTATTTTGGAGCTTTACTAATGAATTCAAATAACGCGTCCTTAAGTCTTTCTCATCCACCTTTGTTGTACACTCTACTTTAAAATATATCTTCAACGTCGACTAAAAAACACTGAGATCATGCATACTTCTCTATGTCCCATGTCTAAAGTTTTTCAGTCCTCTCATAGTATTCTTTTTTTCGCCTATCCGAAAACCAAGGACATCTAAACTGTGCCATCATTGTTTGAGTTTAGAACCAAAGTTCCATATTTTATATAAATTGGCAAAGGCGAATTGAGGAATGTCTTGAAATTATTTGGTAGTATTGTAATGTAGAAAGAAATAAGTAAATAATGGGGGTGCATTTAGCTAACGTTAATCATTTTCCAGACACCTGTTCACAATGATTCACTAAATTTGAATCATTCTTCATAACGTCCTAAAGCCTCTATTGTTTGACTTGTTCGTGAACCGGTGAATGGCAAGTGGTCAATGCGCTAGCTAATTTCCTATTTTCTTAGCTAGCTTTTTCTTTATCATCTAGCTGTAATAAAACACGAATTATTGAATGCCCACTTTCTGTCCACCATGTCGTAAAATGAACACGTAACTAAGCATCTCCAGTAGAATTATACTATACTATTGATTGTACCTGTTCATTTGTCGTCATTGATCTTGTGTGCCTTATTTCTTTTCCAGGCTTGGAAACTTTGCCGCTCTACAAGGTACACTCTACTGCAAGCCTCACTTTAAACAGCTTTTCAAAATGAAGGGCAACTATGACGAGGGATTTGGCCGTCAACAGCACAAGACCCAGTGGAACCAAAGGGTTAACGGTTCTGATAATAGTCCTGTTRAATCAAGCTAGTGCTCCTGACCAATTCCATGCACGCTTGCTCTTTGTTTCCATTGATTCCATAACAATGAATATTAGCTAAGAAGTCATTCAGGTTTCTTGTCGCGAGCGAGCGAGGGACTTGAGTTAGCCACAGAAACTTAATCTCAAATTTTTGTTTAAATTTCAAAAAAATATTTGATGCCATGTTTGGAAAATTGAATCGCTAACTGAACGAATGTTACGATAAAAAAGACTTTTGATATCTAGATAAATCACTGTACAAAACTTATAAATGAGTATTATGGATCCTATCCTTGGCGTAACTCGTGCCATGTTGGATGTTGCCATCCAAGATGGCAACCACTTCTTTGCTCATTCCATTTTTTCGCGAATGTGCACTCCAAGAAATTACATTTTCATATATACTTAAGTGATCGAAATGCTAATCATCTCCACTACAGAAAGGGAAAGCCTAGCGTTATTGCTGATCTATCACAGCCATGATAAAAGATATATTCTCCCTTTGAATTTCCTAAAATGTGAGATGTTTTGATACAAAAATTACCAAATAAATTTAGCTAAAGGAAATGCTCTCAAAAATGTTAATTTTTTCATTATATTCCAAATTAACCATTTTTCAAAAAAATAWTTTTTATTTGTTCTGTGCAAATTTCGTATGAATGAGGATGCAAAAGCAGGATGTCGTTTCATTTCGGCCGCATTAGAGCTCTGTCATTGGATAAGAATTTGCGAATTTTGATTGGTTAAAAGGACGAGGTCTAAGATTGCGAACATGCATCCCTGTCAATAACATTTGATGTAAAATGTAACGATTTATACGTAAAATAAGTAGACGTGAGATAAGAATATAATTAAAGGAATATAGTAGTAATTTAGTTTCATTAATGCTTTTGTATAGAGAATAAAACTTTTGTATTACGGCAGTCTCGTAGTTGTCTATGATAACAATCAAGATTTAAAAGCCGCCAGACGGAAAAAAGTGTACCTTAACTCTAGAGGCACTTGAGCCGAGCTTCAATTTTGCAGTTTTGTTTCAATACTGGAACACGCATTCGGTCGGCTCGCCTCRAGCGCCTCTGGACTAGGTGTGAAACCTTCGAGCCAAATGGGATGTAAAAGTTTTACTACCGRGCTTCCTGTTGTAAAACAAAATGGCTTCGTGCGATGAATGTCTGGGCAGTCCATAAAACATCACTCAATATAAAATGACTTGGATTAAGAACTTCAATAAGGAACGAAGATGTTTAAGTTGGAAGAATATGCTTTTATCTTACTTGAACCCTGGTTTTGGCCTACAAATGACCTTGCTGTCATGGGTAAACTCGGTGCTGTCAAGGCAAAATTTACTATCAAGTACTGAAGCGAAGCGGTATATTAGATATCGGCCTCTAATGGCCTAAATAAACAGTTCCTGGTCAAGGTAAGATAAAATACTTTTTTCTTAAAGAATAATAATGGAAAATTGTTGACTTAAATTAGAGTTTAGCTCTAGCTTTACTGATATTATGAGGAAAACTCTCTCTAATCCAACTGCATTGATCAAAAGCGACACACAACACCGAACAAAATGTATAAAAATAGCAATAGTACGACAAAATTAGAAGAATAACTGTAAAACTAGAACACAATTAGTTAAATGCATTGCAAAGGAATGAAATTTAGATATATTTTCATTCAACAAAACCGTCTTTTACTGGTAAAGGTACGCAACACTTTTGAACAACTAACCTTAGAAGCGGCCAAAGCTGCTGCTTTCTTTGAAAACTTTGCACGAAACACAACATTCCAGCGTTTTACCCGTGACCTACTCCAATTAGTTTGTCTTATGTTCTTGATAATGTACATTTTTGAAAACTTTTAAAGATATTTTTCACTACATCAGCTCAGAAAGCTCTCAGAAATGACGTGCACTAAATCGGACAGTGTGTAAACGCTGATTGAATCAACAAGACCCAGGGAACAGGGTACACTGGGATACCTTGGGAAAGTTTTCTTGATTCTTTTAGGATCTAAAGGCGAAATAAAAATAAGTTGGCAAGTCTATAATGACAGTTGATTTTTATACATRCTCGAATAAGGGCTCGTCCAATTTAGAAAACTTTCAAAACATCACTCTCACCTATAAATTCCGAATTGTACTCGAGATCGTGTGATTTCCTATACAAACCACATCAACATCTAGAAATAAAATTTTTACTTACAYTTTTTAATTTCAAAATTACATGTGCTCATTTACGACAAAAGTTTTTGTCATAAGTCTTCATAAGACTATACTTTACTTCTTATTAACATAACATTTACGTTTTTAAATYAAAGATAGGATTCAGTACCTAGTTTACACATTTAAACATTTAGAACCATTTGCCCCTTTTCAGTCCCGACCGGCTTCCGCCCTCTTATTTTGTTCTTCTTTTTTCTTCTAACTTTTTCTAAGCTCTTCATCTGTAAAAAACCATGATTCTCAGGATTAGTTAAGATAAAGATAAAGATTGAGATTTTTCAGAAGTGACRAATGGTTCACCAAATTGAAAACTTCTATGTGCTATGCACAGGAACTGAATTTATGGCTCTGGTAGAGTTTCGTTTTATTTTCTATTGTTTCACTCATTAAATCGACACTCGTTTTAGTTTCACGAGGCGAGGTCAGTAGAGCGAAATCCTCTAAACGTAAGAGATAAGTGGGCAAGCACAATCGTAATTAGAAAAAATGAAAAATAAAGAAAGCTAAAATGACTGACCTTYTGTGAGAGGAGAACCATACAGCTCCATCCTCATACATGGCCAAACGTGCCATTCCAGTGGACAAATACGGATGTACCTGGCTAAGATGACTTTCTGGAGTTCAATTGTCTTGATGGTAGTGTAGTCCACATTAGCATCGAATATCTAGCAAGAAAATAGACAAAAACACTGATGATCAATTGCTGATCACTGGCAATGGCAGAAGGCTTACTACATCACAGGCTTTCCCTTTTAAATTTAATATTGGGTTTAATTTAGTTGAAAAGAAAAGTGAAATAAAGTTTACTTTCTTTCTCCCTCTCCCTTTCTCTCTCTCTCTCTCTCTCTCTCTCTCTCTCTCTCTCTCTAATTCTTCTGTCTGTCTGTCTGTCTGTTCAGTCTATGCAGACGTGTTCGTAACCGCTCCGTAATCTTCAACATTTTATAAAGCTTTTATCGAATCTTTGTCTCCAAATGGCAAATCTTATTG